CATACTACTCCTCTACCAATGTGGGACAATACTACACTATATACATGCTGTAAATTAACAGTGGCTGTTTAAGAATGTGTTGCGCTGTCTCAACTTGCTTCATTGGTTTTACAGGGGAGAAAGTCCACGAGACCCCCACAAGACGAGACCCCCACAAGACCCGGTAGAATCAACATTGTTGACTAACAAATAATGAAACCTGTGCTACAATTATACAAATATGTATTCACTAAGGCTGGTACAAATATACAAGACGAGGCCGAAAACATTCATCCAGGAAAAACTTACTTCAATGGAATCGGACATGAATCTTGCAGCAGCTATTCAACAAGAGATCTTTTGATAAAAGTTCTTATGTAATCTTCACTATCTCATCCAGCTGCATTTGGAGGACCAATTTCAAAGCTAAGCTGTTAATCAAATGCTAGACTTAAATATTTGGCCAAAGTTCCAATCCCAAGTTCAGCCAAAAGTCTATAAGTTTCAGTTAGGAAATTAAGATTAAGTTCAAAATTCCACCCCAAAAGTTGAATGCAACTACCTGATATTAAAGAATTCAACTGTTCGATCTTATAACATTGTCTATTTCTGACAGAGGTAAAACTTTTTCCATCCATTTCACAGAAAACCTCCAAATATTGCTGTAGATATAAGCCATGAGATCTTGTTGAAATTCAGTTGTCCGGATAAGGAATTTTGTAACCCAATGTCAAGCATATTCTACTCTTAAGGCGGGCCATTAGTCTATGACAAGAAGGTCATTGTATACTGGAATAATAGTTACATTACCTTCACTTTTAGCATCAGTAATAAAATGGAAGTTCTCCATATCGCTATGTTTGAAATCATAAAGGCGTACCTGCATTTCATGTTAGTTTGGATTAATATAGCACGGATATACACCAACACCAAATTAGAAATAGAATAAGGTGTTTCCCACCAGACCACACTCATCCCCAACTGCCAATCTTAATGTCTGGAAGCAGAAATCTATTTTTGAAACTGAAGCGGTTGATATAACTGTATTTACACCTTTAACCTGAAAATCACCAGAGTAAAATTTAGAGTTCCGTATTCAAATGACATAATGAAAAAACTGCTCATTAGAAGTAACTTGGAACTTGTAACTGTTGTTTCAACCTCATTATCCAAGACACAAAGGAGAAAGAAGACCGGATGAGTGGCATCCCACATCCTTACAGATCCATCCTGGTAACCTGCTATATAAACTCTTTGAATCCTGTTAGTCTCAGCTTGAGAAATATGATTATACACCCCTCCAGTTAAGGGCCATCCGTTAGCCCCAGATGATGTTGCTGTGCAGAACTTCTTGAATAAAGGTGTCTGGTTAAGATACAAATCCCATAAAAAACTAAATTAGAAATAAGTCTGGATTTTTAGAAAAATGAGAAGGGGGGAGACAATGATACGGGGAAGCAGCACCTCTTGAAGAAGCTCGGGTAAGTTTCCATCTGAATGCAACTGGGTAAGCTTTGTCACAGTCATGGAAGGATCAACTGTCGGTAATTCTACAGGAAAATCCTCAGCTGATAGAGATACTTTCTTCAACTCTTTGGATACCAAGTCAGACAAGCTTGAACAATCCAAAAGTTTTAGTTGTCCAGGACTCATCAACACAAATAAAGCAGCTTTTTCATCAGTTGCTGCTGTCCCAGTAGTTGGTAATAAGATCGTATCGGCAAATGAGCCACTAAAAGTGAGGTCAACACGACCAACACATTTCAAAGTCTCCATTCCAGATGACCAATCAAGGGTAAGAATCTGCAGCAGCAAAGCAGAAGAAATTAATGTTTTTATCATTACATACGATTATGTTTGAGAGTGTAGGTAGTATGATGGTATGTAATATCCCAAGAACACAATTGGCACCCAACAGAAGTTTAAGAGTTGTTGTTCAAATTCTTTCCCCTCTCTAGGGATGAAGACCGAGAGCTGAATCTGTGAGGACTTTTACCACTAGTTCCTAATTTAGAAATGTATCCTCCCCTAAATTGCAAACAGTCAGAAAATATAAACGAACTAGAATATAATGAAGATTGTAGGGAAATGATACTTTTCAAAGCAACCTTATGTACACGTGTGCACTTCTACTACCATAGATTATTCATTATTCTGACTCACCTAAGGCAGTTTTCTGATAACCCAATTTAGCATTTAAAATTGATTGGAATTTATCGATGGATGGGTTAGAAATGTCAAATTAAAAGTTCTCTACACGTCAAGCACCAGTTTAAATGTTATATAGATTTTAAATCATAATCTGTTTTGACTCATTGAAAATGTTACAACAAGAACAACTTGAGGTATCTACTAAAACTCTAAAATGGTAGATTCCATTAGATATCAAATATAGTTATTCAATCAGGATCATTTCATACTTCAAAAGCCAATATATATTACAATTTGGAAATACACACACTAAGATATAGCTTGACTTTTATTTGTCCCAAAGTGCAGTTCAATTTGACCCAGAAATGCAACATTTTATAATCTTGAGGTACAGAGAATATTGAAATAATTAAGTCTGCATGGCTAGCGAGCTTACGTATAGCATAACGATAAAACAATAATGAGAATATTTCAGTGATGAAATGTAAAACTTACTGTAATGACTTCATCGGATCCTATTTCATCACCGCCATAAATGAGGAGATGGCCATCGCTGCTATTCCGGGATTTACTGTTCGCCCACCAGTTTAAGACAATGACAGGAAGCCTTTTTTCAGCAGAAGACAACTGTAGCTTAACAACATTATCAAATGGTCCGGCTTCTTGACCTTTGCTTAAGGTTGATTTTGATGTTTTCCAAAACAGAATATCTCCATCTATGTACCCAACAGCAAGAATGGATCCATCAGTGGATGCCCAGCAAAGTGTGGTTATCTCTTTCTCCTCAAATTCATGCTGCAATAAATCATCAGGAGAGCTGGAATCTGCGTTCTTTTTAAAGTTTACAGCACCATCCTTCAAATGGAGATCTTTATCACCTTTAACAATGATAACATGGGCTTCAACGACGTCCCATAGTATAATTAAACCACTCTCATATGCAATCAATAATCTGCAATAAATGTCATCAGTTCAGGAACTTATAAGAAAAAACATAATCAAGATTCTAACAGAACCCATTACAGTTACTAAGTCATAAAGACAAAGCCACACTACGTAGAGAAGGATACATCACTCATGCTTCATTTGATACAACTGACTGCCGTACAGCAACTGACAGATTTAGTTGACCAATAAAGAGGAATAATAGTTTCTTGCCAGTAAATTATACCTCCTCCACCATGCAATTTTGCCTAGTACTTACCCAGGCACTTCCTATCGATTAATAGAAATATACTACTTTCTTGGTTTTTGGTTCTTACTCAGAAGACCGCAACAAAGGAATTTTGGCCAGAGAAGACATCTACAATAAGACCAAATGGTAAATGAGTGGAGACATCACTTCATCTATACTTCTATAGCTTTTACTACATTGACAAGCTTCTTATGACCAAAATATATTGGCATTCGGTAATCACTTTTAGAAATTGCTCAACAACAATTCTTTTTTATCCCACGAGAACCACTTATTTTATCCCAAAGAAGCACTGAATGCCACCTCATAACTGGGTCATGTATCTTGGAAAAAAAATCTGTAAGCAAGGATAGATCTTTCTCCGGTTTTCTTGCTTCATTCACATTTAAGATTCTCCAACTTGTATGTCAAAAACCAGCAACGATTAACATAACATATACCTTGCAAGACAATTAATAAGGAAAAAAATAAACAAATGCAAAAGGGTAGGGCTTAGTTTGGTTAACATGAGGTTAGTGAGGAGTGAGGAAGAAACTATACACAATAATTGTGACTTGCCTATTTCCTGACGTAAAAGGTTGGGGGAGAATTCCAACAACTGGTTGATGATCTGCATTCGCAAAACCAGCTGCTTCTGCAAAATAATTCAAAAAGAGGTTTGTTGAATTATAAAAGCACACGAGAATTTGATAATAAGATTCTTTAAGACAAAAGAACAAACGTGTTGTTAGGTACTCATGAGGTTAAATCAAGCCAGTCGGTATTCTCTGAACAAATGAAATATGCTTGGTGGAGATGCTTAGTCTGATAGAAAAGATCTGAAATCCCAAAATAGAGCCAACTGTCTTCATGTGGCCATAATTTTCTAGAGAAGCTAGTTCAATCACATACATCCCACATATATTAAATAATGTAGGATCTGAAACCAAAGCTACTCGAGGTTGATTGTATTAGAAGAAATTAGATCCAGAACTAATGGACTTGAAATAAAGTTATGCCAGAATAAGGTAGAGGAGGCGAAAACCCTATAAAGGAGAAGATATAGTTGTGTTAATTACAGGTGCATATGGTACCAGCAAAAAGCTCATTGAATAGCCTCTATTACTAGAACAAATTATATTAAACGTAAGGATTGTGTTTCTTGGCAGCTGGCTACAAAATGGTTCAACCATTGTATAATGAACGTGAATCTCTTCTGAATCAAGAGACATGCCCATGTATTGGAATTGCACGAACTAGGCCTAATTATCTGCAATTTGCATCCCTAGACTTTGGAATACGGAAATGCATATCTTGGTACAGCCAACCTACAGGTTTTTTAAGTAGATATCCTGATTCCTGCCTTAAACATGAATGAGCTATTTGTGCTTGTAAATCCAAAGTTTTAACATCCACCAAAAATAGCTCAAAGTTCAAAATACTCTAAAATTAAAAATTATCTCAACTAAACAAGAGTCGCTTTACAAGAATAAGAAACAGACATAATCATATAAAATAATAGATCAGATAAAAGATTTTTCACTAAGATCATGCAGTAAGCACCAGAAAGAGAACTCCACAAGATCTGATATGGCAGTTGCAGAAGCTCTCTGTTCTCAACACAGAACTTCAAAACTGAGATTGTTCCATATTCATCTCCAACATACCTGGAATGACAGGAGAACTTTATTATAAGCGTAAAATACTCTCAACTTTTTGCACTGTAAAAACTTTCTTGTATGCACATCGAATTCGTACAAGAAGGAAGAGCCATTGATAACTGAGAAAGCAGTTATATTTGATTTCCACTGCAAATCACAAGCTACAGATCTGCTTTTGAGATTCCAAACCTGCAGAAAATCAAGAGAAAGAGAAATCTTACAGACCTACTAACCACAAACAGTTCCTAACCCATGTTTTACAGGGGCCCTCTGAGCACCAATGTCAGTGCAACCTTTAATGAAAGATTTTTCTTTTGACTTTTCTTCTGGGCTTCTTCTATCTTTAGGGGCGGGGTTTGCAAAGAGGTCTTCATTGGCCATTCAAACTGTTCTTGCTTTCAAGAGGAATGCACCCTTGAAAGGAAACCATTCACCAGTCAAAGTGTACTTGCTTTCAGGCAAAACATAAAAAAGCAGAAAATCATGGAAATGGTCTTCTTATAATTTTAGGTAGTGACGTAATTTAATTGGTGATTACTAGACATTTGACATTATACAACAAAACTTCATTAAACTGCCGGGCAATATTTCACGTTCAACATAAATGTATAAGTGTCTCTGAGAAACACGTTCAAGGAAATAAATGGAGCAGGTTTTGAGATTAAGCAAATTGAGTCATAGTAATTAAACACAACAAGAAACATGAGTTTCTTCAAACCTCTTGCATCATTGTGTTTTACCATTGCAGCTGAAAGAACAATGTCCAAGGTACAATATAGCAGGTTCAAATGAAAAACGAGTCAATTCACCACACAATTGTAGAGATTCTGCCCTGGGTAATTGCAAGATCCATCAGTTGCTTCTTTGTTTTTTATTTTCTGGGGGATATGTTAGGTACAATTTCATTAATTATAGCACCCAAGTGTGTTCTCAAATACAGTAAAACGGTGGATTTAGAATCTTTTAGTATAGAAGAGCGTATGAAATCCAATATAGAACCTATGTTATATACATTTTTCACATTACACCAAAATGTTATTTCAAGAAACTACAGTTGCTATACCTCCTAGCAATTTCTCTTTACGGTATAACTAGAAGTAATGATCTCTCATTAATTTGTAGATGCTATTTCTTGTTTACTATCACTAAGGATACCAACAAGTTCCAGTGAGACCTTAATTCTTTATGTACATTATACGCTTTTTCACATTTTCCTGCGCAACCCTAGTAACACTTAACCAAGATATTATAATATATATGGTAGAGCTAGATCCACAAACCTAAAGCAAGACTTATATCATTCACTTGCTTAGGCAAGGTCATGGCGCGGCCAAGCTCATGCAGGAATTCCTTGATTACAAATGCCAAAATTAACATATCTCAGCAGAGAAAGCAGAGTTGATAGGGCCATCAGGGACACCTGGAGGATGATACCAGCTTGTATTATTTGGTGACTAGGACTGAAAGAAACCTCAGATGTTTCGATGGAGTCTCAACTCCAATACACTTGCTAAAGGCCAGTTGTTTGCTTAGTCTTTTATGTTGGGCCAAACAGTCCTATGTAATTAATTCTACTGTCTTTTTAGATTTTGTGAGCTCCCTCACTCTAGACTAGCCTCTTTGAGATATGTCTTTTGGTTATTGGCTAGCTCCAGACCCTATCATAACATCTTGTAAAGGAGCTAGAATCTCTATTTTTGTAATCACTGCATCTGTTTGATGCCTTTCAGTGAAGCAACCTTCTTTATGTAAAAAAAAAAAGAAAAGAAACCGAGGAACAGACAAGAAATACAATACAAGCTAAGGCGTCAAATTATGTTCAGTTTCCCTTCTTTGATTGGCATTTGAGAATGCCGCACCAAGAAGGGCATTAAAACCCAACAAGAAATAAAATACAAGCTACGGAGCATAAATGGTCTTAAGTTTCCCAACTTTGATTAACATTTGAGAATGCTGCACTGAGAAGGGCATTAAAAACCAACTTATTGGAAAAAATAATAATACCTGGATATCATTTTCATTTGTGATGCTGACAAGAAAACCCTGGTTTTGAAGGAACTGCCACAGACAAAAAAAGAAATAAAAGAGAACAGATTAAACATATACCTTGAGATTGTAAAAGAGAAGGATTAAAGAAATCATGAATATGATACAAGGGCAAGATATGAAGACACCATCAGTTTATTGGCGCTACAGGAAAATAGTGAGCCAGATTATTTTAAAAAATAATAGCAAACTTTCGTATTATTCAGCAAAGAACCTTTTCTATGTCTGACCAATACTACCCAAAATAGGAAAAGAGAAAAGCTGGATGTTAGCTTTGACAAACAAGCAAACACCTAGCCTCAAGGATGAAAAAGGCCCCAGTGGGATGGAACTTCCTTTTCAAAAGGAAAAGAGAAAAGAAAAAAGTGAATACCCTTTCCTACCTTGTATCATATACCATTAATGTAGGCCCTTTTCAGTTAATTGTCCTCTTATTCTAGGTAAACCCATGGAATGCAACACTAAAAACGAAAATGGTCATCATTGGACTTTGTCATCCAAAAGTATTGGAGTGACATTTTGATTAAAACCCCAGCTCTTTATTGACTTAGCTCATACACCTAACATTATCAATTCTAAAGACCATTATCTCTCAGAGACTCTTAAATATGTTGATAAGGAAACCAGGCTCCAAAGGTGTTACAAAATGCTCACGAATAATATCGAATAATATAGACTTGGAACCTTTAGAACTGAGCTAAGAATCTCTATGAATGACTTCATGTGCAAAAACCAAACCTCTAAATATTTATAGGGCAACTGCTTTGGAGAAATCAAGAGACCTTCAATATTGTCCCCACCAATCACTTTTACCCTACCATCCCTGCAAAAAAATTTGGATACTACATTAAAAAGATACAGCCATCAAGCCATCTATGTAAATAGTTTCTAATTGCAAGATAGTATGGACAGATTATAATATACATTGAGCCTTCACCTAACTTTAATCCATCTGAAATAGATTGTCGCTACCTCAAAACGGAAGTCCTTTTCGATCACAAAATAAGAAAGCGCAAGAGAAAAGAAAAATGAAAATGCGTTGCTACTTCTGTATTCATTTAATTAAGACTCAACTTCTCTCTTGAGCTTAATATGCTATCAGAATAGACTCCTTCCCCCACCCCCCACCAACCAGTACCTGACTGATTTGTATAACTAAACAGAGTTTCCATTTCTTCTTTATGTTCCGGAATAATGTGGTGAGGAACCCCCTTCTTAATCAGCCTAATATAATGGGGCACGATCCACCCTCTTATTCAGAACTATTGCTTCAAGAATCAATCAGACCTTTACTTCTCCCATCCCAAAATTTTAGTCCAGTTTAGCTTCCCAAGAATAAAGACATAAACCTTTGGTTAAGATTTTCAGATGTACTATGTCATAATCTTGAAATTAAAAATATCGTAATTTAATATTGTAGTATTTTTCATGTAAATTTAAATTTTGAGATGTATTATGTCATCTTTGAAAGTAGAAATATCGCAATTTATAGTACTTTCATGTAGCTTTAAGTGCCAAAACTTTTAATGATAAGTGAATTAATCTATGTCCAGAATCGGTCGAATGGGCCCTTAAAAGGCAAATGGACTAAAAAATTGGGCAGAGGGTGTATTATTTAAAATTAACAGTGGAGGCCCACAGAGGGAAGTTTGTACAAAGCTAAACAGCCTAAAAAACCATACACAGGGATCTCAGGGGCTGAAAGGTCAAGCAACACTACAGGGTACTGGTAAACGTATCATTTACTAAACAAGGGAGCGGGGGTGCCACATGACCATAACTGGCCTGCAGCCAAACAATAGTGGCTATACGCCTATTGCATCCACCAGTTATCTCTTGGTGAAAATATGATTTTGACAAGCCTTAACCTTTTCTCTAGCCTCTTCAACCTTCACTGGAGTATAATGGGGGAAGTTCAATGCAGAACTGAACTCTAGAAACTGAAATGATCAGGATTCAATGACTCACTGCTTCCAAAGAAGCATATCAGGAGTAAGAATCTTGTTATGTTTGTGCACAAGGAAGTGTCTTATCAGCCAAAACAGAGTTAGCGCTTTACTTAACAGCTGACCTAACAGGCTTCTGTCCATATTAAGTGCATAAAAATCAAAACTGACTCACAACGTTCCAATGGCCAATAGGCGCTGGATGGGATCTACTGCAAGAATTGATGCTGTTGACGGGATACCATAATGTACAGTAGCACGAACATTCAGGTCAATTGCTGTCAAACCACTGCCATTTCGCTGAACACAAGAAAAGTTGAAATAAAAGAATTACTCCACCAGCTACATTCAAGTCTTAAAAAGTCAAATGGAATGAATACCATAGCCAATTAAGCACCAATAGAGTAACAACGACCAAATAAATTAGCATCGCATTTTCTAAAAACAATGCCCTATATATTGCTCTTCAGTTAGTAATGCACTATATGTTGCTCCACATTTTTTCCATATTTCTTGGAGATTGTAATGAGCAGTGGCAGAACTAAGTGTGTTGAAGGAGGGTTCAATGGGATCCCCTACATCAAAAAATTACACTGTACAAATAGGGTACACGGAATTATTATATAGTATATAAATTGTTGAATCCCGTAGATAGTTTTTTTTTCTTTTTTTGATAACTAAGACATCCCTGAGGGCCAGTGATGCATCGTTTGAAACTGGTGGATAATGGGTCCGCCCCACTACCCTTCTCCACTTAAATACCAGGCTTTTGTCTGCGGCAAGATTCAAACCCGTGACATGTGCCTAACTCACACATCACAAGTTATGCTCTTACCACTAGACCAAAGCCCTAGGGGCAAGATTCGAGTTCCATGTATTTAAGTCATTCACTCACTGTTTGCAGCAGGATTCAAATCCCCTTGATAGTTAAGTCATTCGCTCGTTGTGCAAGTTTACATTTTTTTAGTTCCCTTGTTAGAATTCCTGCCTCCACCACGGGGAATGAGATTCAAAATCATACATAACAATCAACTTAGCGTCAGTCCCAAACTAATTGGCCTGGCTATATAAATCATCTATATCAATTCACTATCTTTACGTTGACTATCAACCTACTGCTACCATACTCTTTTATCCAGGCTTGAGACCAGCAATATCTTGCAAAGCTCAAATAGGCAGAGTTCATAAGTAACAGCTCCACATATTTTCCCGATATAAAACTTGTTTTTTTTTTTTTAACTATGGTGGTGTCTAGGCCAACTTGAGGTGCAACTCGACTATTCCAACATTGCTACCTCCCATCTGCACAAGTATCAAGAAACTCTGTCCACCAAGGATTAGGCAGATGAGAAGAGTATCAAAAGCCTTCTTGTCGACTTATTTCACTATAATCCAGCTTTGATCGATCAAAATACTGGCAATTTCGCAGCTCAGTTATAAAAAAATCTACCGCATTTAGCAAACAGAATGGAAAACAAAAGGAGTTGTTTCAATTTCCGATATAAAACTCGAGCAAAGATTTTTATCCACTTATATTTCACTATGATCAGCTTCGATCAATCAAATAATTGCAATTTCGCAGCTCAGTTACAACGAAGTGCTTCAATCTCGCATCAAAAATTCCAACATCATGATTACTGCTAAATGAACATCACTATCACTAATTACAACGTCAAATCATTTCTAGAGAATCACAAAGTAGACAAAGTCAACTGAAGAACACTTAAAGACAAAAAAAAAATTACCTGTTGATGTTGATTATGATGATATTGTGTGGCTTTCTGGAAAAGCTTCTTCGCGAACATGGCGAAATGAGAAGTGAAGATTTTTGGATCGGTTTCGAATTTTGAATTGGCTTAGGCGTCCGGCATTTATTTGGCTGAAATGGATTAAAAAAAATGCTTTGGGAGCTATATGCTGATTGATGTATTAATTTAAATTTAAAATTTATGCATTTCTCGAATTGTACGCTAAAATAAAAGGGTTGGACTGAATATATCTTTGCTGCATATTTACAACCAAAAATAGGCTGTTCAAGAGAAACTCAAAATCAATTCCAACCACTTTAGAAGCTAAATTTTATTTGGTAAGATTTGTTGTTAAATTTTTTTAGAAAAAGGAATATTATCTACTTCTTACGTCCTATATGATAATGATTTGACTGGCATTATATTTAAGGAAAAATAATTATTTTTAAGCTTTTAATTTAAAATTAATTATATCTAAATATAAAACTATATTATTCTTTTGGAATAAACGAAAGTGAAAGTGCTACAAATTGACTTCAATCTTGCAGCATACTTTCTTACTCCTATTCATCTTGCAACATACTTTCTTACTCCTATTCATCTTGCAGCATTCTTTCCTACTGCTCAATTAGATCTTATTAAATAACTATGGTTAATTTTTAGCCTTTTGAATTTTTGATTATTACTTACTCTTACCATTATATGCCGTAAGCAATGTTAAGTACACCACTACAAAGGAATTTGGAAAATCAAGTAGCTAAAATAATTGGTTATATTCTTGAGTTAGAAGTTTGTGTATACGGTCGAAATAGATTTCGGACTTCGCACGTCTGCTCGAGTTCGAATGATAGTCGATCGAAGTGAGATTTCGAGATGGTTTCCGAAGATGAAGCAAACAAGCCTCGAACCCGAGAGACCGATCAATGTCGAGTTCGATATTGTTATTGAGCTCGAATCCAAATCGAACTATGATGCACAGTAAAGCTATCAAGCTTATGAGCCGGAGACCAACCAACATTGACCCCGAATCAATTCAAGGGTCCGAGTCAGAATCGAGCTTAAGCCAAAGATCGAGAGCTCGAGTTAGAATCGGGCTCAAGCCGAGATCAAAAGCCCGAGTCAAATCGGACTCACAGACATAAGCTGTTGCAATCCCACTAGACGAGGGAATCTTGGCAGGAATTGTGAAAAATCTGATTTATCATGGATCTCCCATTGAGTATTTTTTAATTATATTTAAAGTAAGGTCCCTCTACTATAAAGAGGGGTTTTGTCATTTCTGGAACGAGGAGAGTTTTTTGGGATAGAGCTCACATTGTAATTCAAGCACCATATCCTCTTATATTCAAGAGTTACTATTTTAAGCCTAAAAACACTGATCTATCTTGTTTAGTCCTAAAAATCATCTTCTTTACAACTTTGTTTATTTTATATTCTTTGTAGTCCATATTTGATATTCCCCTTTATCCTTACGATTTGTATTGAGCTTTATCACATATCCTTAGAATTATGTATAAATTCAACTCTATCCGTTTTTCGGGTAAACAGTTTAGCACCTACCATGGGGCTAAGGATAATAGTGGTTATTTGATACGAATCCGAAAAAATACGCCATTTGTGTTTTGCGCTTGTTTCCAAAAATATCTTGAATTTCGGATTAGCTACGACTAACCATCACTCAAATGGCTTCACCAATCGACAACGGGGCCGGTCTTCAAGACGAAAACAACAACTTGACACCCGGTATTGAAAGACCACTTGTAAATGCCATTGGAGCTCGAATCGGAGTGCCAATAGACATCAATTCGCATATAGCCATTGAGGCGAACCTACATGCTGAACCCGAGAATAGCATCTATGGTGGCACTCGGTATGCGGCTCGAGATACCCATAACGTTGAGGAAAATGGTGTTAGCTTACGTGTGATTTTCAAAATGTTGCAAGCCCAACATGCAACAATAGCTCAGTTGCAGAGCCAAACCCAGCTACAAAGCAGGCCGGAGCCCAATCCATCTCGAGAAATTACCCGCAGAACGGAGCCAGCCATAGTGAAGTCAAATGAGCAAGAATCGGGGACTACTCCCGAAATTGCTAAATTGCTCGAGAAACTCACAAAGTGAGTCGAAGCCAACGATAAAAAAGTATAAACTTATAACTCTAGGGTCGATCAGATCCCGGGAGTTCCACCAATGATAAAAGGGTTGGATTCGAAAAAATTCGTGCAAAAACCTTTTCCCTCGAGTGCAGCCCCAAAACCAATCCCCGAAAAATTCTGTATGCCCGAAATTCCCAAATATAACGGAACGACCGATCCCAACGAGCACGTCACTTCTGACACATGCGCCATTAAGGGCAATGATTTAGAAGACGGTGAAATTGAATCTGTGTTGTTAAAAAAATTCTGAGAGACCCTCTCGAAGGGGGCAGTGATTTGGTATCACAACCTACCACCAAATTTTATTGACTTTTTCGCCATGTTAGCAGATTCTTTTGTGAAAGCACATGTCGGCACCATAAAAGTCGCAATAAGGAAATCGGACCTCTTCAAGGTAAGGCAAAAGGATAACGAGATGCTGAGAGAGTTCGTATCTCGTTTTCAAATAGAACGAATGGACTTACCATCGGTCACAGACGATTGGGCTGTTCAGGCTTTCACTCAAGGTTTGAACGAACGAAGTTCAACGGCTTCACGGCGATTAAAGCATAACCTGATCGAATACCCAGCCATCACGTGGGCCGACGTGCAAAATCGGTACCAATCAAAAATTAGGGTCGAAGATGATCAATTGGGATCTGAACCTGCTGTTCGAAGGGATACTAATCGAGAACGAGGTCCGATCGGGGATCGATACCAACCGTACAACGGAAGCCCTAGAGTCAGTGAATCGAGACATGACCTCAGGCAAAATAACAAAAGAAATGATCGAGGTGAAGGGTCCCGGGGGCTGATGAACAGAAGTAGGTTTGATATGCCTGTCGGATCTAAGGAAGCACCTCGATTATCGGAGTATAACTTCAGCATTGATGCATCCACCATCGTATCGGCTATCGGACGCTTCAAAGACACTAAATGGCCTCGGCCCATGCAAATCGATCCTGACCAGAGGAATTCCAATCAAATGTGCGAATATCATGGCACCCATGGCCATAGAACGGAAGATTGCAGGCAACTAAGAGAGGAAGTAGCCCGGTTATTCAACAAATGGCACCTTCGAGAATTTTTGAGCGATAGGGCGAAGAACCATTTTAAAAACAGGGATTTTGGCAAGCACAAAGAATAAGAAGAACCACAACACGTCATTCACATGATCATCGGCGGTGCCGATACCCCTCAGGGACCGGTGCTTAAACACACTAAGACGTCGATTGTGAGAGAAAAATAATCTTGAACTCGAGATTACACACACATAGGAACGTTGTCCTTCAGTGATGAAGATGCATAAGGAGTCATACAACCTCATAATAACGCACTGGTAATATCTGTACTCATGAATAAAACTAAAATTAAGTGTGTGTTGATTGATCCAGGTAGCTCGGCCAATATTATCAGATTGAAGGTCGTAGAACAGCTCGGCCTGCAGGACCAGATCGTACTCACAACCCTAGTTCTAAACGGATTCAATATGGCATGTGAAACCACCAAAGGCGAGATAATTCTACCAATAACGTGGCCGAAACCATCCATGAAACAAAGCTTCACGTAATCGAATGCGACATGAGATACAACGCGCTTTTCGGAAGGCCATGGATCCACAACATGAGAGTTGTACCTTCAACCCTACACCATGTCCTCAAATTCCCAATAGCGAGAGGAGTCAAAACAGTGTGCGGAGAACAACCAGTCGCAAGAGAAATGTTCGTCGCCGAGGAAGCGAAACCAATATCCTTGCCTTTGCCAGTAAAGGGATCGAGCTTAGAAGGGGAGCGAGATACCAAATAGCAATCACAGACATCGTCTTTGACCCAACCAGATAACCAGAAGATCAAAGAAGATGATGATCAGAGGATCCCTTGATCCTTCATGATTACCGATGACTCCAACGCCACCAAATCAACGATGAGGAACTGGAGCAAGTCACACTAATCGAACATTGGCCCGAACGAAAGGTATACCTGGGAACGGATTGAGCCCCGAACTCAGGAAGAAACTTATTCAATTTCTTATCGATAACATTGATTGCTTTGCCTGGTCCCATTTGGATATAACAGGGATCCCACCGGACATAACGACGCATCGGCTAAGCTTGGACCCTGGGTTCAGACCGGTAAAGCAAAAGAGAAGACCCAAATCCGAGGTAAAGCACACATTTATAAAGGACGAGGTAACCAAACTTCTCAAGATAGGGTCCATTCGGGAGGTGAAATATCCTGAATGGTTAGCCAATGTAGTTATAGTGCCTAAAAAAGGGAACAAACTTAGAATGTATGTGGACTATAAGGATTTGAACAAAGCATGCCCCAAAGATTATTTTCAGCTGCCCAACATCGATCACATGATCGATGCCATGGCCGGCCACAAGATCCTCATTTTTCATGATGCCTACTCCGGGTATAATCAAATCCAGATGAGCCCGGAAGACCAGGAAAAAACTTCATTTGTCACTAAATATGGAACATATTGTTATAATGTGATGCCCTTCGGGCTAAAAAATACAGGGACTACTTACCAACGCCTAGTAAATAAAATGTTCGAAGAACAAATAGGTAAATTAGTGAAATTTTATATTGATGACATGCTAGTTAAGTCCCTGCGCGCAGAGGACCATTTGACCCATTTGCAGGAAACGTTCGAGATTTTGAGGAAATACAACATGAAACTCAACCCCGAAAAATATGCTTTCGGAGTCAGGTCGGGCAAGTTCTTCGGCTTCTTGGTGTCAAATCGGGGAATCGAGATTAACCCCGATAAAATTAAGGCCATCGAAGATATCACCATCGTGGACAACATGAAAGCTGTACAAAGGCTAACTGGATGGATTGCAGGCTTAGGCCGATTCATTTCGAGATCATCAGATCGAAGTCACAATTTTTTCTCTCTACTTCGCAGTAAGCGCTGTCCTAGTTCGGGAAGATCAAGGTACGCAATTTCCCATTTATTATATAAGTCGGACCTTAGGAGAAGTTGAAACTAGATATCCGCACCTAGAAAAACTAGCACTTGCACTGATAAGCGCCTCTAGAAAGTTAAGACCGTACTTTTAATGTCACCCCATATATGTATTAATCACTTACCCGCATCGTAATATTTTGCATAAGCCCGAACTATCAGGCCGATTAGCTAAATGGGTCGTCGAACTCAGTGGATACGATATCGAATATCAAC